ATATTATGTATATAACTAATATTGAGGAATTTTCTAAAAATACATACATACATTTCAATATATTGGAACATTTTTGATTATTTACGTTATTCTTTGAATAAAAAATATGGTAGAATAGCGAAAGTTTGGTACTGTTACTCTCGTTTGCCAGATAGCTTGGCTTGTGACGTCAATATTTAAATCCTGAACAGAGTAGGTATGTTTGTAACGCTCAAAAGAAAATGTGGGTAAGCCTATAAAGCATATATATGATATATATTAGATATATGTGATCAGCGTGACGAGCTGAGTTGATTTAGAGATGAACGTCTGTCTGTATGTATTTATAAGAATTAGTTTATGAGATATCGATCTGAAATTTTGCACCTGTTCCTACAAACCGCTGCTGAACTGAAGGATTAAAAGCAAGTTCTTAAATAGGAAACTTTTTTATTTGACAAAATATCTAAACGAAATTTGGCAAGGATTATTGCAAAATTAAGGCAGCGGTACAATCACCGAAATTTTGTTTTTGATTGGAACACTATAGCGTTAAGCCTGCCATACAAACTGATGGATCAAGTCCATGTATGGCAAACTTTTTTATTTTATGAGAGATCAAAATCAAGTATGAAAACTTTTTTATTTGTGAAGGGTATTATAGCTTCGGTTTAAAGAAAGTTTAGTTTTTTTTTCTTGTTTTGCTTAATTTTCTACTTCGGATGACTCCTTAGTAATAAAAAAAAATAGTTACATACATATGCATGTACAAGTATATAAATTATAGTAAACAATTTTTAAGCTATCTTTACAATATAATAACTCGAGCACTAGATCTCTGCTTTAGAATTTTGTAACAGCAATACTTCATTTAAATGTGAAATGCGATTATTTGACGCAATAAATTAACCACAAATCTTTTTATACCTATGTTAAAGCACAGGAGATTGAGTAGATTTTGCAAATAACTGTTTGTGGATACAAAAATGAAATTCCCCCAAACTTTTGATTAATGTCAAAACTCCAACGAATTGTTTATTTCAACGAATATAGGTATAAAATAAGACTACTGATAAGAACAATAAAACATGCATATGTTATAGGCCTGTACGTGTATCTGTGCCAATAAGTTGTAAATGCTAAACTTGAGATGGCAAAGAAGGCTCTTGTGAGTACAAAATTTTTAAAATTGCGGCTTAGATTAATTTTGGGCATGCATTTTTGATTTTTTTTTTTGCTACATGTGTGAAATCTCTGCTGTCGAAGTGAAAAAAAAGTTCTTGATGACAGCAAATCATGTTTACATCAGAACTGCTGAAAATCAAGTTCAGCTGTTTCGATTTAGCGGCACACATACGTGAACAGAAGCAAAGTTTTATTTTTTTTGAAAGAAAAAATTAATAAATTAATTTATTTTTTAATGTATGCTTGTATATGTATGTATATTAAACCGTATGTGTGCAAATCTGCGTGTGTATGTGTGCGTGTTATCAATGATTGAACTTGGAACCAGTGGCGCATATCACTTGAGTTCGACTTAAGGAAACCGGCAGACGTAATTACTTTGCACACAGTCTCTTGCGATCACTGCTCGTGAAAGTATCTATCTTAAATTTAACGCATTAATAGACACATTTTATAAATAAATAACTGTGCCAGTTAACGCATCCACCAACAAAACGCAATGAAATTAAAGATAGCGTTAATTGCATTATTAAGTGTGGCCACAAGTAGTGCGCTTAGTTTGGAAGGATTCAAATGTAGGGATCACACCGTAATGACTGGCGATCCTGTGGCGCCAAGACGTACGGTACGTATCTGTGGTGTGCAGGATTATGATGCGCCGCCAAGCTTTTTGGATTTTCCAAAGATATTTGAAATTGAGCAGAAAGGTAGGTATACGGTTGCGTAAAGTGGTTAGATCAGTTTAGCGAAAGCCCAACTGTGATAATTTATTCTGGCAATAACAAAAAAGGAATCGAGCTTGATTTTGTTCGTGCAGCTTTTATGGCATCTTTATCATATAGTGAACGGATAGCGGTGGTTCCGACATATGAGCAGCTTCTTGGTGAGAAAAGGATGTGTGAACAGTTTCAACTCGATATCTCAAAAACTATGAAAGTAATTAGCATATATACAGACGGACAGACAGAAGGATATAGCTAAATCGATTTAGCTCGTCATTCTGATCATTTATACTCGTATATATTCGTTCTGCGTATCACCTTGTTCTGGGTTTTTATTATCGCAGAATGTACTTGAAGCTTAAACAGTCGTTGTTTCTAAAATGCTAGACTGATCTAAACTCTTTAAGCAAAAAAACACACTTATTTACAATACATACATATGTTTCTCATTATTTTACGCTTTATTCCTGTTGCAGCGCGGAATAATGACGCCACCAATTCATATAACAACAACGCATTTTGGCCTAATCGTGGTTATCTAAGGTCACCTAGGCCATCGTACGCGCGCTGGCCATTGGCTCCGCAGCAAACGGACAATAACGAAAGCGAGGAGTTACTTTCAACACTTAGCAAAATTTTAGCAGCAGCGCCGGCCACACATGGAGCAACCACAGGTTACCCTACGAATTCCCGTCATCTAATGGAAGCGGAGCGCTTGCTGCAAGAGAAGCTGCGCTCGATTACCGAAGATACAAGTGAGATAAAGAGTTCGGTGAATGAAGTCGTCACTAACATTAAGAATATGCTCGATACTTTGCTAATACAAAACGCCAATCAGCAGAAGGATATAAATGTTAATGTAAATTTGAAGTTGGAGCCCAGCCTCGAAGCGTTATTAAGAGACTTCATGGCTCTAATAAAAAACGAGGTGAATAGCGAAGACAATAAAGAGCCAACCTCAACTGAGCGCATTGAAGACAGCAGTGATGACAACTCGGAGGATAATGCTAGCTTTTACTCAACAGCATATACGAACGAAAAAAGTTCGGAGGAGCAAGTAACCGAAGCACAAGTTGACAGTGCAGAACATTCGACCGAAAAAGATGCCACAGAGGAATATGAAGGAAATAGTTCAGTTGAAGATTTTGATAAATGGATGCGTGAACATTTCGGTCCGATTGTAAAGACGTCGACGTACGACGAAGATACAGACAACAGCGAGCAGGAAAATTCTGTAGAGAGATCGGAAGAAAGTTTTGAATCCTGGTTCAATGCTGTTTATCGGAAACAAACAACTGAAACACCAACGGATTACAGTAGTTTAGATCAACGAACGCATAATTCTGCACAAAGTCAGGAGAATGTTCAAAAAGAAAGTGTCGAAAATACGCAAGAGAATAATAACCAATATTTAGATGTTACTTTTGATTCTAAGTTTGACGATATAATAAAGTCTTCCGAGGAAAATACGGTAAGCTTAGAAACTACAGAGAGCAATGAAGAAACCGGCAGTTATAATTATGATTATATATTTGTGCCAACAACAATGCATTCACTGGAACCAAGCGAAATAGTTGAAGAAGTGGTAAATGGCGATAGATATAACTATGCAACGGAAATGGAAGAAAAAATTAAAATGCAACAAAAATTCCACTGCAATCAAACGGCTTATTTCTCTAACCTTAACGGTTCAGGGCTTCTAAGAGAGAGACTTATTAAATGTCTTACAGCATATAAAAACACCATAATAATTGATGATCCATTATTTAGGCATAGTGACGGAGATACGAAAGAAACCGAAGAAACTGATACAGTCGTGATTGATTCCAATGAATCGGAGAGTAGTGAGGAAACTCCATCACCCATAATTGTATCGAACGAATCG